GAGATGTTAGAGTAGACATAGTGTGGAAATGTTAGATTAAACATCGTTGGAAAATGTTTTAATAATTATCCCGTCAAGGGCAGGCAGTCTAAAGTGTGAATTTTGAAAGTGAATTTCCTATGAGGGGAAAAGCCCACTCAATGTAAGTCACTGGAGACCATCCAAACAGAGTTGTGAAAGTAACATCTCGCGCAATTGCAGATATTCGAAGACCGAGTGTATTCGGTCCTGCCCGTTTGGGGTATACCATTTTTGAATGTTGCAATGTTGCATTGGTTGTAAAAAAACGAAAAGTATTTTTTAAATTTATTATACAAGTAGAACAATATAAAAAACATAAAAGGAACGTTTCTGAACAAATTGTAACCAGTAAAAAATAGAAATGAGAACACTATCAACAATACACATGCAATGGATGCACTTACAAATGGAATATATCCTTGAGTATCCCTGAGAAAGAACAATCATTTCACATCACTAATTTTGGCAAAATGAAAACTTCAGTGAAACAATTTCTATCCTTCTTTATGAACAGATTTACTTTACATATGGCATAACAGCAAAATGGATGGTGACATGATTATTGAGGGGGCTGCAAAACTTGCTATGAAAGCCAGCTTACCTACACAGGCCCGTGGACCTAGCTGTGTTAATCCCATCCCTCACACTGTCATCTGGCCTTTCTGCACGTTGGTACTGAAATGCAGATGTCATTCCACGTTTGACAAATCGTCATTACTGTGAACCAAAGAATACGGGTGAATCTCGACTCGTCTCATGCTGGTGCGGTTGACCTTTGTCCTTTTGGATCTTGCAGTGACAGAGATCTCAAGCCTGAAATAGCTTCAGTGTGTGGCAAGGCATGTTTAGTGACCTACAGATCACGACAGTACAGAAGCCATGCATTCTACAACACAACATCCAAAACATAAGCAAAGATCCGCATGTACCAACGCTTGATTTCATTGGCGTTTTTGTTAAAGTATGGACCAACAGATACTTTAGTCGAATACCTCCCATTTTTGGCGTGTAGTTCTTGATGATGCCAGGCACTCAAAGTGGTCTTTCTTCTTTGATGCCTGTCATATCTTTCAATAAGACCCAAAGGATAAACTTCCGACATCATTTGTGACTTAGAGTCACAACTTTGTCTTGTCTTCCATCTTACAAGAAAGGATATGCTCATTGCTTTGGAAACAAAATAAGCCCCTGGCCACATTGATTCTTTGCATTTCTTTCACAGGCCTCATTGTGGCTTACCACATCTATTAAACACGTCATGTTCCAGTGTACCTGCAGTTTACTGTCTCTCAGTAAACCTTGACCAAATAACATGAAAAGAAATAATCAGCAAAGAACTGCTTGATGTTTTTCTTTGGTCAAGAGAAGCTGCCAAGTACAAAACCATCCTGGCACTCATTGGCGTTTATTTTCTTCATTTGACAGCATAATGTGATAGGTTCTCAAAAGTTGGGTTACCTGTACATCAGTAAATCATGTAATATTCCATCTTGCACGTGCTACGACAGCAGAGTTTGAAAAACCCCCACTTGTCTTGGTTGTTTTTTGATGATTTGGCCTTAGGTTTACCACTGTTTTACCCTTGATAAGCAACCATAACTTCATCACAGACTGCTTGGGTGTAGCTGGAACTTTTCAAGCAAGCTTTGAGTTAGTCCAATGTACAGGAGCCTTATTTTGTAGAATCTGTCATTATCCTTTTTTTTCTTTTTGTGTGTTATCATTGAAATGAAATTACGCCTCAGCAACCTAAACCTTTTGATCCATGATTCTGCAACTTGAATTGTCCCCTACTGCCCATCTCCAATAGTCCTCAATGGATGGCTGTACAGTGTAACCCATAAACAACAGAATACCTATCAACCTAGTCATTTCCTCAGAATCTGTTCGGAAAAGTAGTATTTATGTCTTTTTTGCCTGGCATACAAATTAGTTTGAAATGTAATGTTGTCTATCATGTCTGAGTAAAAAAGACTGTAAATAGAATCAATATGCACACTAACTTCAACAGTCTTTTTATGTTCAATATTTAGGCCAAGTCCATTGTGGATGTCCTCATTCTTCATTTGGTGTCCTACTTGAGAAGCAAGATCCATCTTGAAGCACTTTTCATCAGGTATTCCTCATAGTAATACTTTCTTTCCTCATGTCAATTTCTGTTTTTTTCTGTTTGGTGGCCCACATCCTCCCCCCATCAGTTTTGGACAACCCTCCTGCATCTGGTGGAAGAATTCCATCCTTTCACAATCCAGTGAAATCCAGTCCATCTGAGTCTTTGATCGAGTCAGTATCATCCCAAACACAGACAAATTTCGAGGTATCCTTGGAGGACTCACCGTAGAACAAATTTCCGTTAATGATCTGGAAGTAACAATAAAAACTTTCTGTACACACACACCCATACCATTACTGAAATTCATAATACACTCCAAAATTTATGGAAAATTTATATACCGAAACTTGAAAACTGCACTTAAAGGGCAGAACTACTGTGCTTGGTCTATTTTGTTGCACTTTTTTCCATTTGCAGTTGCAACTCGTATATTCCACAACGCCTTCATAATATACAAAATATGCAAACTATTCATTTACACACCGACACACAAATTCATTACTTACCGAACATTGTAGTGGGTGTATATGCTTCAGTATATAAGGAGCACTATACCGAGAAACACGAGTTTTGGCGCCGGCAAGGTAGAAGTGTTTACATTCTGCTGTCTCGACCAATGGGAAGCGAGCAGCCGCCATCACCGCTCAGCCTGGGCGACTCAGGGAAGGTCTGTGATTGGTCAGAAATAGAGAATGGGAACCTAGATGCGCGGGGGGAGTTGGAGGACGTGCGCAAAAAACCACGTTATGAGGACCGACTACACTCGGTCCTGCCCGGTAAATGTTAAGAGTAAACACTGTCGAAATGTTTGAGTAACATAGTGTGGGAATATTATAGTAAATGTAGTGTAGGAATGTTAGTGTGAAAATATTAGGAGTAACCATAGTGTGAAAATGTTAGAGTAATTATAGTATGGAAATGTTAGAGTAATCACTATGGAAATGTTCGTGTGTGGAAATGTTAAAAGTAAATATGGTGTAGAGATGTTAGAGTAGACATAGTGTGGAAATGTTAGATTAAACATCGTTGGAAATGTTAATCATAGTATGGAAATGTTAGATTAAAGTGTGGAAATGTTAATCATATAATGGAAATGCTAAACATATAGAAATGTTAGAGTAAACATAGAGTAGAGATGTTAAATATTGGGATATAGCTAATAAAAGCTTATTAAATTATGCTGGCATAATTTAACCATCATGGTCATATAATCATGGTGAATCGCTAAACCTGTACGGGTAATGGAGCCTAGAGAAGGGGAGGTAATCTGGCTTGATCCGAGGGAGTGGAAGGTAGTTTTATTGATTGGATCCAGATCCAAGCAATTGGAGCCCGTGGCAATCGTTGAACCCGGAGTGCCATAACGTTACACAGCAGACAAAATGTATCTCGATCAAGCTTGTGGTCAGCGCTTACTGTTGGCTATCTGATCAAGTATACTGTTGCTACCAGTAATTCGCATGCCTGTATAGCCGTTTCATCCTGGTTACTTCAGAACGTGGTTTATTTTCTCTTTGTTCCGGCAATATTTGTTATCAGCTGGTAGTAGGTTAATTGAATCTTGAACCACGAACCTCCCTGACTTCTTATTAGTGGTTATCACTGTAGATTGGAGACCTGGCATTAAAAAATAAAGGGATCATACTGCGCCCGGGAATAGGGAGGCAATCAGGTTTGATCCGAGGGAGGTTAATTCCAATTTTTGAAGTAAGGCCTCAAAAGGATTAAAGGAGAGGTGAGGTGTTTGAGGAAAAGTTATCTGACGGGGAGTGAAGAATGCGGAGATAGCCTGCTGCTGTAGTCTCATGACCTCATATCCCTAGACGTTAATTTTTCTCAGTAAATAACCACAATATAGACCGCAAATTCTTTTCTAATGTCTTATCATATGCACGTTCTGTTATTACCCAGTTCACTATGTTTGTGTATGTAAATTTATAGGTTAAGAGCTCTTGTCCTGCCTTACCTCATTTCAAAACCAAGTCTCATCTGAAATTTATGACAACCCCGCTGGTTGCCACTCGCAGTAATCAGCTAACACCCCAGGTATCTGGTAACAACCAATTATATGATATCGACAAGTGGAAACACTTATGACGTAATATAAAATGTTTTGGTGTTCACTCCGTGGCCTTTTCTTCACGCCCGGGTACCCGTTTACCACGATTTGTACATGGGCGGCAGGTGTGATAAGGCTAATCCATAAGTCTCGTCCTGCCAATAATAATAATAATAATAATATCTTTATTTACTACAAGTACATGTACAAGGTATACACTCCTAGCTGACAACAATGACATACTACTATATAGAAAGTCCCTTGTTATGCTCCGCATTTCGGGCAAATTTGGTCAGTGTTCCAGGATGCGACCCACACCAGTCGACTAACACCCAGGTACCCATTTTACTGATGGGGAACATAGACAACAGGTGGAAAGAAACACGTCCAATGTTTCTACTCTGGCTGGGAATCGAACCCAGGCCCTCGCCGTGTGAAGCGAGAGCGTTAACCACCATCATCAAGTGCCTATTTAATACTAGGTGAACCGGGGCACTGGGTGTTAGGAGACTTGTCATGCTAATCGTCCAGCCAGGGAATAAAACTACGGTCCTAAGAGGTGTGAGCTGAATGCACTGTCAGTGAGCTACAGGTAGCTTCTGAAAAAAAAAAACTGATCATTTACTTGGCTGGCAAAGGTAAAAGGACATTTACGTACCCTCCCTTCCTCCTTTCTATATGTACTATTTATATGCAAAACAACCACTGTGAAAGAATAGCGAAATTCCAAGCGCTTTCGTGACTTCTCACATTGTCAAGGAACTATATGACTAACTATTTGTACATATTATTTCTTTATAATTTAAGGAACAGGACGACGAAGATGAAGGTTCAGATGAGTTGGTGTTTCACGTGACCATAAATTTGCCATCAAGCAACTCAGAGAACAGGAATGATAATGCAATCGATTTCGGAGAAACCCTATCTGGAGCAGCTAGTATGCTGAAAAAATGGAGGCAGGTGCCAAAGTTTTGTTTCTAAATGTTCGTGTGCAAGGTATATCTTTACTGGTGCCATTTTATATTTAAAATGTAGGTTGGTAGATAGCAAGCACCTAAGAACGTAGTATCGTCCAGTCGTATGGCAGGATTGCTATTATTTTTTTGTCTCAAACATGTAAGATTATAGGTAACGCCTACAAATTTGTACTTGTATTTGGTATACAATTATCTTTACTGATTTTTTTTTATTTTAATATTTCCCATCAAAATTGGTAGGCCTGCCAGACTAGGCTTCTAGAACTGAAATTGTAAAACCATAAGCAGGATTAAATTATATATTGCCGACTAGTAGGAAAACAAAGAGGTCGTAGAGCAACCTTTTTTTGAGACAAGGTTGTGTCTTTGCCTTTACCATTAACATACATGTATGTAACTTTAGTCTGTTGAACATCTACTAACCTTCAGCCTGACATCTGCTGATTTATTAATAATCAACTCAGTGTGGATAGCACAATTAAAAATATGTATATAAAAAATTTCCTTCAAGCACTCTACCAAGTAATTTCTGGGTTCAATCACCGCTAAATTTAAAATCAGTTTTCCAGATACAAGAAAATCAAGTGTGTGTGTAAGTGTAGCTTATTAAGATAACCACAGTGATACTACACATACTCTCTTTTACTGTAAAGTAGTCCCCGTTGACGGGAAATTAGAATTCGGATATTTATAACGTTAGCGTTACCGTATCAATTTTCTATAATTTGTGATTAAGCGCATAATTATAATATTTTTCCCCCGTGTGCTTTCAGGGATGACCTCTTTTGGATAATGAGATCTATTAAGAGACTAAAATATGTAATGAACGAATCATTGCGACTAACCACTGGAGAACTTGCGTAAGATGCTCACAATAACTCAAAGAAATGACGGAGGTATTAGTTTAAGAGGAAGTTCAGACACGCTATTGATGTTTCAATATATGTTAACATCTGTGGTATGGTAAGCATATTGTTATCCTATATAGACTGTGTTTCGTGTGAGCATATTTATTTTAATGGGGGATATTAAACTTTTTGTATTTGTCTTCTTTATTTTACTCGTGTAGATTTATTGCAACATTTTCAGTAAATCTTTAAGAATACTGATTGAGACATTTAACAAGGATATTATATAATATGAAAAATGTTGAAATATAAATTATAAAATGTATAAAAGGCATCAAGTTTGTTAATGCAAATATATAAAATTAGGTTATATTTTCAGTGACTTTATTACAGTAAAGTTTATAAGGATTATATATTTAGGTGAAAGCTTAAATGATCAGGTTTTGTTAACTGATAATGTAGTAAAATATACTTTCGGTAATATTTCTAAAATTTACACAGCTTATTAAAGTGTTTAGAGATTATCTGGATATAGCAATGGTTTGTTTTATTTTTTCTGTGATATATGTTACTATAATGATTTGAGATTTAACTTCTTGTTTTACTTAAGCACCTCCTTGGTGTAAGGCTTTACATGGCTATAACTTGCTTATAGAAACGTTAAATAATGCTAAGGAAATGTGAGAGTTGATTATTATTATAATTATAACCAAGCGCTAAACCCATAATGTGAGAGTGGAGTATGGGAAAGTACAGTATAAGATGAGGCTAAAGGTTTGCATTAAGAAATATCTGTTCCAAGCCTGATTCCTCCAATGGCGGGGTGCCTTGATGCCGATCCAAGGGACTGAAGGTACCCATATATTTCTTGAATTAAACCTGATTATCTGCTATTCTCCAGGCACTGAATGACCTCTACTGCCTTAATACTTCCTCTTGGTACATGCAGTGTCATCTATTTAAGTATTGGATGGAAGACAAATGGTTTTTGGGACCTGACGAGCTGTTGGAGTGTGAAAGGATTCAGGGGAACCGGATAGCCAGACTTCGAGTCCTGGAAATGGGAAGTACAATGCCTGCACTTTCAAGGAGGGGTTTAGGATATTGGAAGTTTGGAGGGACGTCTAAACTGTCGTATCTGAGCGCCTCTGCTAAGACTGATTATGTATGAGTGATGGTGAAAGTGTTGAATGATGAAATTTTTCTTTCTTTTGGTTTTTTTTTCTTTCCTTTTGGGTCACCCTACCTCGGTGGGAAACGGCCGACGTGTTAAAAAAATGCGCTTGACAGTCTTGCATCTGGACCACTTGCAGTGTGGTCAACTTCATTAATAATAAAACTAAACTTTTTTCTTATGCATATTCTTTATATGAAGCACTAACCCCTTGTGAATCAAACAGCTGCAGGAACGGGGGAGGCTTGATCCTTCATCAATTAATGGCAAGATATTCGTTATTATTCTTATAAAACATTGTTGCATCAAAACTCCTGAATGCTTACTTTACCTTAAATGCCATTAACACATGTCAATATTTGTTACTTTAGATTTCTCCTGGAAACATCGTATATTATAGTGCAAATGTCAAAAAATATCCTATACCTGAGAATCTTTCCTAAAGGAAGGTTCTTTGATGCTGGTATCTTTTTGATTATAATAATAATAATTTGATGCCTCGGTGGGAGACGGCCGACTTGTTGAAAAAAAAAAAAAAAAAAAATTTGATGCTGGTAAGGGAGCTGTTGATCCAAGGAATTAGATGTATCCTCCCCTTCCTTGGATCGAAACTCACCTCAACGTTTCGGCCCGCCCAGGATGCAACACTCAGGTACCCATTTACTGCTAGGTGAACAAGGGTAGGAGCTAATGATAATTATACAACTATGATGTACAATGTTTCAAGCTAAAATCATGTAACTTCCCAACCAGCCAATCTTTGAAAAAAACTGGTGTCTGTTTTTTCATGCTTTTATCTTCTGTCCTTGCTTTAATGAGTGGCTGAATTTGTTTGCTATGATATCTTTTGTAAATATATGAACAAGCGCGCCACTCATACCAAATATAGCTATACAGACAGGCGCCTTCACTTAATTAATGGCAGTATCCCTTCAAGAGGTTGCCCTGGTGCTGGTAAAGGGCTCTTAATCCAAAGAATTGGAGCTATCCTCCTCTTCCATCGATATAATAAGTGTAGAGAGTGCAATCAGTGAGGCGAACATGGCAGGAAAGATTTATCAAGATGGTTATTATAATCAAGGAGGAAGCGCTAAACCCAGAGGATTATACAGCGCCTGGTGGGGGGGATGTGGAAGGCATTCAGGCTTAATTCGGGGAACTGGAGCACAGATTCAATTCCCCAAATCAAGAGCCCCTCACCAGCATCAAGGAACCTCCCTTGAGGGGACATCGCAGGAAAGAAATTGAACTAACAACTAAATACAAGGCGTCTGGGTTGGGACACGAGCGCGGGGAGATTATAATCATGAAATGTTAGTCTGACTGTAAGTGCCCTGAGAGGGCCTTATCCTATCTAGTACTGCTTGGGGAGGTTTTTTTTTGTGTATGTGTAGTGTATGTATGTGTGTGTATGCTTGTGTGTGCATTTATCTATTTGTGGTTGCTGGGTCGATTCTCAGATTGTCTTATTCGCTCTCTCCCGCCACGAGTTATACTGTGTTGTCACTTTTTTGAGCCCATAATAGTTGTGTACCCTTAATAAAATTGTGAAAAAGTTAAATGCTACGTATCTAAAACATAAATAAAGATTAACTTCATTGGTGTTTTGTCACTGTTTGTCGCTTGCTTGTGGCTGTCTTGGTGTTTCTCTAGTTTTTGACCAGATTTTGGATTAGTAAGTAGGTTTATTTAGGTACACACAAATATAGTTACACAGATTTATCATACATAGCAGCATGTGTGTGGAGAACCAAGGATAACCCCAAAAAGTCAAAGTGACTTATTTCCACTGGAGTCCTTTGTAGTTTTTTGGTGTATATATACTCCCAGTTTTCTGGAGGGTATTAATAAGAACTGCGGTTTCAGGATTTTTAGCTTCATATTTAGCAAAAAGGTCCCACTTCCCAAAAAAATTTCAATGTTGTAAGTTATTTTAATAATTGCAAGTTCATTTCAAAATGGTTTTCGCAATATATTTAAAACAGTGGAATGAACATATTTAGTGTAATGACACAATGGCAAACAAACCATACCATGCCATGGTCTGGAGTTTTGAGACTGATCGCGGGTTCTAACCCCACCCGTGATATTTTTTTTTTTAACATTTAGTCTAGTTTCCGAAACAAGGCAGCTGTAAGTTTGTCCTAGCAATAATTTATCCACTGCTGTATCTCTAGTTTATGTCTTGTATGTTTCTACACTTCACCTATCCCACACTTCGTGAAGCTTACAAAACATCACTTCACTCGTAATACCTGAACAAAGGATTCATTGTTCCGTTTTCTCTCGAGGGCAGAGACATGTGATGAGATACTCCAGAGAAAGGTTTAGGCTTTACAGAGTGTAAATTTTTACAAAGGTCTTAATAATAATAATGACAATAATAATAATAATATTTATTTACTACAAGTACATGTACAAGGTATACAGACCATAGCTGACATCAATGTTAGTTTAATGTTTATTATGCACCCCATACCCATCCTTTGGGCATACTACTATACGGACTACTATATAGAAAGCCGCTTGTTATGCAGAGCATTTCCCGCAAATTAGGTCAGTTTTGTCCCAGGATGCGACCCACACCAGTCCACTAACTTACAATTGTCTTTGGTACAGTTAATAAAAATGAATAATTTATCTGTCGAAAACAGTTGTTTTGCATAAATATTGGAGATAGTATTGCATATTTCACCTGTTTTACAACTTGTAGGTCCAATAATTCCAATAGGAAAAAGTCACGGGTTCTAACCCCACCCGTTACCTGGAGGTTATTCCGGGGATCAACGCCCCCGCGGCCCGGTCCATGACCAGGCCTCCCGATGGATCAGGGCCTGATCAACTAGGCTGTTACTGCTGGCCGCACGCAATGCAACGTACGAGCCACAGCCCGGCTGATCCGGCACTGACTTTAGGTATCTGTCCAGCTCTCTCTTGAAGGCAGCCAGGGGTTTATTGGCAATTCCCCTAATGCTTGATGGGAGGCTGTTGAACAGTTTTGGGCCCCGGACACTTATGGTGTTTTCTCTTAGTGTACCAATGGCGCCCCTACTTTTTATTGGCGGCATTTTGCATCGCCTGCCCAGTCTTTTACTTTCGTAGGGAGTGATTTCTGTGTGCAGATTTGGGACCATTCCTTCCAAGATTTTCCAAGTGTAGATTATATATCTCTCCCTCCTGCGTTCCAACGAGTACAAGTCAAGTGCTTCCAAGCGTTCCCAGTAGTTAAGGTGCTTGACAGAACTTATACGTGCAGTAAAGGTTAAACGAGATCAGGTCAGATTATACTAGCCTACATTAACCTTTAAAAGTACACAACCACAAATAAGCATTTTTTTTATTTGTCTATAAATAGGTTTTACAGTAGTAAAATATGTGACGGAAATCATTGACTACATTATTTGTGAATATTTCCTCTGTTGCATGACCGCGCGCGCTCGTGTGGGTGTATGACCCACTTAATTTTTGCATTTATAGTTGTGACCAGATTTACCTGGAGTTCATTACCTTTGTAACTAGTTCAGCTATCATAACTTTGGGGTCCAGTCCCTGGACCCATTATGTACCTCTGTAATCTTTTGACTACCGCCCATAGAATAGGTATGGGGTGCATAATAAAGATATTAAACTAACTGCATGACCGAACACTAGTGGCGGGTCATTTATAAAGACCAGCTTCAGGAGGAAGTCGTCCTGTTTCCTGACGAATTTATCCTTAATCCTAGAATTATCTGGTCAGTGCTCTAACTACTACACCGCGAAGGCCTAATAAGATTTATCCAACTGATTTATTTCTATACACAATGGAGGTTAGCATGGGCCACGTCACATCTAACAAGGAGTGGAGGACTAATGCTAAACAGGAACGTTGAATATTCACGAGGATCACCTCTCAGTAGTAGTAACCAGTTACCAGTAACCAGTGTACCAGTAGATGACTCACTACCAACCGTCTCTGCCTGAGTCACTGTCTGTATTCATTGCCGCTGACCACAGCAGTATTTCAAAGACCCCCTCACATATGGGTACTGTGGGCGGTCAGTCTTACGTAAAGGTTTATTTGTTGAACCATCCTTACATGTTGTAAGAGATAGTAAGATCCATTTCTTCCTGGCCAACACTTTCGGGCACAGTGTTTCGCCCAGAGCAAATACCAATCTGTTGCCCTTTGTTCACTATCCTTACCCTGTTCGGTAAGGATGATTGTACCTGACCATGGTGGGTGCTATTTCTCCCGGGGGAGACCTCATCCATTTTCACTGGACAACTGTTCCACCATTTTGAGAAAAGACTTAGCTCCCACTGACTTCCCAGATGAAGCAAGCGTTTTTGACTCTTTTAAAACAAACGTCGTAAAGAAATTTGCCTTCCCAGTGAAAATGGTATAACGAACTTATTGCCCCATGTATTCCCTTAAC